TAATCAGCAGATGCAAGTGATGTGGGCAGTGGGGGCTGTGCTAGTTCAGAAATGAATGATCTGTGCCAGTATTGCAACCCTGTGCATACTCGTACATCCAAGAAACTCACGGAAATACAGAAGCAGCGCTGGCCCGCATGGGGAAGGAGGCTTATGGATACATTGGGCATTACTCACGTGGCTACAGTTCCTGAAGGCACAAATCCTTTCCAGGTGTGGACTGATCACAAAAATTTAGAAGCTCTGAAAACTTCCAGGAAACTCAATCCCAAACAAGCCTGCTGGTCCCAGCATTTTCACCAGTTCCAATTTAAGCTCAAACATTTACCAGGAAGAAAGAACTTCCTGGCAGATGCTCTATCTCGCATGCCCCAATATAACAGCGCACGAACCACAGACTCTAGACCAATAATGGCAGAGTCACAACTGGCAGCGCCAGTAACCACAAGAACCCAAGCCCAAATAAAACCACAACTGGACAGCCAAACTGGGATTGATTCCAGAAAAAGTGTTTGAAACAGATGAATGGTTCCAGTCGTGAAACAAAAATTGTGCACAATTGGAGAGTCGGGTTGCCTTGGGTAGGGGAAAAGTTATATAGGGATACCAACAACTCAAGAGTATACTTTCATGCAGCTTTGCCATGACACAAAATCATCAGGCATTTTGATTTGTAAAACTTTAACACTTAATTAAACGGGCGATGTTGGTGGCCATCAATAAAAAGAGGTACATTAGAAAGTTATGTTTTGCCAGCTGCACACCTGTGCATCAGGCAAAGAGGTTTTGCAAGGGAATGTCGTCCAGGCTATTACAACCAGTGCAAGATCGCCTCAGCCCCCTGTAGGAGACTAGCCCATGGTTGTGTTATAGTGGAATTGCCAGAAAGCAATGGGAATACTGTTTATCCGTGGACAGTCACGGCCTATTCCAATGAAGGGTGCACTTTCTCCCTCTTGCCAGAAGATTCCCACTGCAAAGGCCTTAGCAAAACTTTTCATCCAGCACATTTACAGATTGCACGGGGCACCCCAACGCATCATCTCTGATAGGAGAGTGCAATTTACGTCTGCATTTTGGAAGGAATTTTTTATCCCTCTTAGGGACCACTCAGGGACTGACATCTAGCCATCACCCTCAGACAGATGGACAAACAGAACGCTGCCATTCGGTACTTGAGCAATATTTGAGATGTTTTTTAAATTTCCAACAGAGTGATTGGATGGACTTACTTCCTTTTGCAGAAGTCGCCTACAATAATGCAGTCCACTCCTGCACAGGCTACACTCCTTTTCAAATAGCCAACGGTCAAAGTTTCAACCCTATGCCAGAGTTAACCCCAAACGAACCAACGATCCCTTCACTGAAAGAATGGATGGAAAAACTACAAAACACCTGGCCAATAGTTAGAAAAGCACTAGATGAAGCTAGGCAGGCATACACAGCACAAGCCGATAAAAAAAGGGTTGAGCCTACACCATTCATTATAGGAGAAATGGTGTACTTATCTACAAAATACCTAAAGTCCCTACAGCCCTGTAAAAAACTTGGACCAAAATATATAGGACCTTTTCCAATTAAAAGAATCATAAATCCAGTAACAGTAGAATTAGAATTACCCAAAAATCTCAGGCAAATACACCCAATTTTTCATTGCAGCTTGCTGAAAATAGAGCATCAGTCACCTCTACGGCCAAAAATCCCCCCCCCACCACCTCCAATCATGGTGGAGGGGGAACAACACTTCGAAATAAAAGAGATCCTTGACTCTAGGAGATATCATGGAACAACTCAGTACCTAGGTGCCTGGAAACACCTCCCTGCCTCACAAAATGAGTGGGTTCATAAACGTCATGTCAGAGCCCCGAAGCTATTGAAGAAGTTTCACACAGAGTATCCTAACAAGCCTGACTAAATTTTATACTTGTTGTGTTTTCTTTCAGATGGATCTCTCTTATTTTTAAGAGGGGCCGGATGTCAGAATCCAATTATATTTCATCTTTAATTATCAAATATAGAAACTCCCAATTCTGCCTTCTCTGGATTCTGCCATAAGAGGGAGAGAAGGGGGAGAACAAAGGGGCTTTATGGTCCTCACTTCCTTCAGTACACTTCAAAGAGCTGAATGCTGAATGTGTGTTTATTGTAACCTCGAAGCGTTAGCATACCAAAGGAGGGTATTTGCCTTTCATGTAGTTATCTGAAGTCTCCATCCAGACGGAAGAAAGAAGAAAGGGGGTGGAATTGTGATACTTGAAACTATCACTGGAAGGGGGTTTGATTGGGTGGGACTACTGGGGAACCCCTTAAAACCTTGAATGGGAGAGCTTGAACCCCAAGTCCTGTCTAGCATGCCTGCAACCACTTCTCTTAATAAAGGATTCCTGTTGGAAGAATTATTCCAAGAGTTCTGTCTTCTTAAGATGCAAAGTGGGGTGGGTCCTTACAGACACTTAGCAACAGGCATGTGTTTATGACAGCTGCCATGTCCTGGGATCATATCATTACCTTTTGTGACCATCTGACAGGAGAAGTCAATGGGGAAGTCAGATTCGCTTAACAATCATGCCAAGAAAGGTCATAAAATGGGGCAAAATTCACTTAACAATGGACCTTTGGGGTTCAATTGTGGTCATAAGTTGAGGACTGCTTGTGTATTATTATTTAATATTATTTAATATAATTGTTGTTAAAACCATCTCCTGATATTTAGATTAACATATAGGGAGGGAAGGAGGGAGGGAGGGAGGGAGAGGGAGAGAAAGAGGAATCAACTGCCCTGTTGTAATTCAGATGCCACCTGCTCTTCACTTCTTCAGCTTTTCTTCATAATCAAAAGATGATTTCTCCCACCGTCTCTGCTTTACAGATGGTCCTTGACTTATGACTGGTTACTTATTGACTGTTCAAAGTTACGACGGCTGTCCACAGGGCTACTTATGACCTGAATTTGAAATTCTGATGGCAGCACCTCCCCCATCACATGATCACTAGTTAGGGTACAGGGCAACCAGCCTGCATTACTGCTATTGGCAGTGTCCCACAGTGACATCTCTGTGATTTATCGCTTTTGTGTTTAGCAATAGCGTGTAGATTTATATACCGCCCCATAGTGCTGTACAGCACTTTCTGGATGGTTTACGTTAGTATATTACCCTCCCCCCCAACAACCTGGGTCCTCATTTTTACCGACCTTGGAAAGATGAAGGCTGAGTCAACCTTGAGCCTCATCAAGATCGAATTCGTAGCAGTGGGAAGAGTTTAGCCTGCAATATTGCATTCTAACCAGGCCTCTTTGTTTACCTATGGTTTCCAGCAAATGATGCACAGCAGACAACAGGTTCCCTTAACTACCATGGTGTTTGCTTAACAACCCCTGCAAAGATCGTAAAATTGAGGGCAGTCATGTGGTGACCTGCTTAATGACTGTCATGACTTACAAATGTAATTCTGGCCTCATTTGTGGTCGTAAGTCAAGGACTACATGCACTTTCTCCTTTTTTACATGCAGCCGTCAAAAATACGTATCAGCTGAATGTGCCATGTGAGATTAAAACGTATGAAAAATAGTTGCAGGAATTGGATATGGCTAGTCTAGAGAAAAGAAGGACTAGGGGTCTTATGATAGTGGTATTCCAGTATTTGAGGGGCTGCCACAAAGAAGAGAGGGGTCAACTTATTTTCCAAAGCACCAGAAGGCAAGACAAAAAACAATGGATGGAAACTACTCAAGAGAAGCAACCTGGAATTAAAGAAAAACTTCCTAACAGTGAGGACAATTAACTAGTGGAACGGCTTGCCTTCATAAGTTGTGGGTGCTTCATCACTGGAGGTTTTTAATAAGACTGGACGTCACTTGTCTGAAATGGTATAGGGCAGTGTTTCTCAACCTTGACAATTTTAAGGCATGTGGACTTCAACTCCCAGAATTCCACAGCCACCAATGCTGGCTGTGGAATTCTGGGAGTTGAAGTCCACATGCCTTAAAATTGTCAAGGTTGAGAAACACTGGTATAGGGTCTCCTGCCTGAGTAGGGGGTTGGACTAGAAGACCTCCAAGGTCCCTTCCAGCTCTATTCTGGTTAATTGAAAGTTGAGATAATTGGGCAGAAATGGAGAGGTTATCTGAAAGAGTGATGTCTTCTCCAGGATGATTTCAACAAAAAAAGGCGATGGCTGCCGTCCTTGATCTGGTTGGTGGAGATTAAAGGATGCTAATGCCAAACAGCCTGAGAGGGCCAAAGCAAGGGATGTTTCACAGCGGTTTGGCAACTGTGGTAGCCACTTGCTTTGTGATGGAAACCTGGATGAAGAGGCACTGAACCCAGAGGCCTATGTCGAGAAATCTAGATTGACCGCAAGCGGACAGTTGCCATAGTAACAGAATAGTTGCATTAGATCTTGTTGCACATTTCGCTTTCCGTCCCGCGCTTACAAAGAGCGAGCCTGGTATAGCTCAGCACTTCATCAGGCTCCACCCATTTGTTTCCCTTTTAAAGCCAAGGTTTCTTGAATTGTTACTGGCTAATTTATGTGTCAATCAGGACTGGTCCGGCCTTAAGTCCAAGGCTAGGTCCCGTCGCCGCGCGCTAGGAGCTTTTTAGTGGGTGGATTTCGAAGGAAAGCAAAGCCTTTTTTTCTCCCGTTCAGCACAACCTTGCGGTCATTTTGTTCTTTGAGAGGCTGGCGTATCTGTCAATCATGGTACGCCTCTTGATTTTTTTTTTTTTGCCCCACAGTCATATGACATGTTATTTTGCTCAGGGAACGAAGGTGGGGAGAAAGTACAGTATTTCAACCAATAACATAGCAGCGTATTCGACGCCCAAATAACACAGCCAATCAAAAAAGTTTTAAGGGCCTGAACAGACTTGAAGGCGGGGCTAACTGGAACGTACATAATCAGCTTTGCCAGGTGACACAAATGATTAACTTTTCCACCAATGAAATGTCTACAAAGTGTGAAAGACGGCGAGAGAGACCAATGATTAAACAGCGGGCGTTTACATTTCCCCCCACCAGTTAGTTTAAGTCAGGGCGGAAGATGGCGGCGGCGGCGGCGGCTGGGACAGGTCCAGGGGTCCCAGATGGGGAACCGGAGGGGTCAAACCGCGATCATAGTGCTTTTGAATGCAACATCTGCCTGGAGCCTGCTAGAGAAGCTGTCATCGGCCTGTGCGGCCACCTGTACTGGTGAGCGAGGGAAAAGGTACAGAGAGGTGTGGCATAGGGAAGGGGAGAACCTGCAAGAAAAAGTAGAAAGTTGGACAGGCCGAAATCCAACAGGTGAACCTGCGCTTCTTTTTTGCTTTATTTCCATACTTGTGGAAGAACAGGGGTCTTCAAACTTGGCCCTTTTATGACTTGTGGACTTCAACTCCCAAAATTCCTCCTGGCTGAGGAATTCTGGGAGTTGAAGTCCACAAGCCATAAAAGGGCCAAGTTTGAAGACCCCTGTGAAAGAAGCTCCACCAGCTGCCTTTGGTTGCTTGGTTGGCTACGTTTGTGGGGTAGCAGAAATCTAAGGGGCAGATGTAGTAGAAGACAGGCAGTGTGGCTTAGTGGTTAGAGAGCAGTTTTGGGGTGCTGCTTAACTGCATCATCTCTGGCCACTGGAGCTCTTTGGTTTTTCCATCAGTTTGGAAGGAGGCTCTGGAGGACCCAAAAGCCACCGCTAACTCAATATTGTCAAGTTGGCTTCACACAAGATAATTTGTGTAGCTTATGGCTTTACAAGCGGGGTAAACTCCCACCCCTGTCACCCCAAGGCAATATTTTGATTTATATGTTGGGTAATTATTGCAGAAACCCAGCAATTATGTTTTGTTCATTTAGATTTGTTACTGACTTTACAGGTAGTTATCAACTTACAATCATTTGTTTAGTGACTGTTTGACTTTACAGTGGCACTAAAAAAAGTGACTTCTGACTGTTTGTTCACACTTATGACCATTGCAGCATCCCCATGTCAGGTGCTCAAAATTTGGACACTTGGCAACTGGCTTATATTTATGATGGTTGTAGTGTCCCGGGGTCATATAAGCAAAGTCAGTGGGGAAGTCAGATTCACCAAACAACGGTGTTGCAAACTTAACAACTGTGGCAAGAAAAGTCTTAAAATGGGGCAAAACTCACTTAACTGTCTCATTCAGCGACAGAATGTTTGCACCGAGCTGTGGTTGTAAGTTAGGACTACCTGCATTTACATAATTTATTACTAAGTTTGTATAGCCACCCATCTCGCAAGTATCACTTGTTGATTTCTGTGTGTCCATCAAAATTCTGATTCAGTATGTAATTTCTCTTCATGTTGGTTTGATCCAGATTTCTTTTAAAAGGTCTTGTGCTTTTTTTTTTTTTTGTCTCTTTCCAGCTGGCCTTGTCTTCACCAGGTGAGTTGCTCTGTTTATTTAGACAGTGACTATAAGCTTGCCTAGAGTTGAAATGCTTTATTAATTTTCCCTGTTATGTCTCTTCCAGATATACTAACCTCTACAGCTTTCCAGAATTCTTAGGCAGCATAGCTGCTGGTTGGGGCTAGCACAGTTACTAGCTGGGGATTATAGAGTCTGAAGTTATTTTGATAACACGTCAGCCAAGGCTGGCTTAATGTAGGACAAATCTTGACAACATTAATCTGCGGAGGGCATACAGATAGTCTTCAATTTACAACCAGTCACTTACTGAACATTAAAAGTTACAATGGATCTGAAAAAGATACTTATGACTCAGATTTGAAGTACCTACAGCTGGGCCCCCTTTGGTGCCACAGTTGCATTTTGGGTGCTAGGCAACCAGCCCACATTTATGGTTGTTTGCCATGTCCCACAGTTGTATGACTTCAATTTACCACGCTTTTTGCTGGAAACCTGGCATTTACTTCCAGTTTTTGGCAAAAAAATGCCCACTGCAGCCAATGGCTTTGTGTCCAGTGCATTTGCTGAATGATTGCTGTAAAAAAGGTTGCAAAATTTATCTGTGACACGCTCAACAACCAGCACAACTTGCAGCTGTATATTCTGGGTTCCATTATGGTCACCAGTCCAGGAAAACTACAGAGAGCCCTCGCCCAAAATTCCTTTTGCTCAGCAAGACAGCGAAGTGAGTTGTGCCCCATTTTATGACCTTTTGTGCCACAGTTAAGTGAATCACCGCAGTTAAGTAACATGGTTAAGTGAATCAGGCTTTCCCATTGATCTTGCTGGTCAGAAGGTCGCAAAAGTTGATCCCATGACCCTGGGACACCGTAACCGTCATAAATATGAGTCAGTTGCCAAGCCTCTGAATTTTGAGGATGTGGCCAAGGAGATGCTGCAGCGGTCGTGTGAAAAATGATCGCAAGTCCCTTTTTTCACTGCCACTGTAACTTTGAATTGTCACAAAATGAACTGTTGTAAGTAGAGGAGATACCTATATTAACCGATGGAAAGGCTAATCGGGAGCACTTACAGATGATCATGTTTCTTATAAGAATCTGGAGGACTTTATCTGTAATTGGTCAGCACGATGGTTTCTTGGGTGGTGAGCAGAATATACCTATATAACCAGCACTGAAGGAGGAGATGACTAAAGCAGTTGATGAAGATTATCTCTGCTTGCTTTTAGTCCTTGCATAGGCATTTGACAGACCGCTGTGGACCTTTGGACTCTCTTAGTAAAGCATTTTTAATCAGAGTAATTGCCCTTGAAATGAATCTCTCCTTAGCTCAAGTAGGGATTGGCTGAATTTCTTAAATAACTTCAGAAATTATATTAACTTGAGGATAATGACAAGCAATTAAAATAGAGCCCTGGTAGTGCAGTGTTAGTATTGCAGGCTAACTCTGCAGACTAACTCTTACCTGCTCAAGGTTGACTCAGCTTCCTTCCAAGGTCAGTAAAATGAGGATCCAGATTGTTGGGGGCACTGTGAAGTGGTGTATAAGTCTTAAGGGCTATTGCAATTAAATTGGGCAAGTAAAATTCCCCCTTGAAATAAATGTTTAATAATAATAAAGTTGGAAGGGACCTTGGAGGTCATCTAGTCCAATCCCCTGCTCAGGCAGGGAACCCTATACCATTACAGACAAATGGCCATCCAGTCTCTTCTTAAAAACTTCCAGTGTTGGAGCATTCACCGCTTCTAGAGGCAGGTTGTTCCACTGGTTAATTGTTTTAACTGTCAGGAAGTTTCTCCTTAGTTCTAGGTTGCTTTTCTCCTTGGTTAGTTTCCACCCGTTGCTTCTTGTCCTGCCTTCAGGCACTTTGGAGACTAGCTTGACTCCCTTTTCTTTGTGGCAGCCCCTGAGATATTGGAACACTGCTATCCTGTCCCCCCTTGACCTTCTTTTCGTTAAACTAGACATACCCAATTCCAGCAACCGTTCCTTATATGTTTTAGCCTCAGTCTCCTCATCATCTTTGTTGCTCTTCTCTGTACTCTTTCTAGAGTCTCAACATCTTTTTTACATCGTGGTGACCAAAACTGGATGCAGTATTCCAAGTGTGGCCTTACCAAGGCATTGTAAAGTGGTATTAGTACTTCACGTGATCTTGATTCTATCCCTCTATTAATACAGCCTAGCACTGTGTTGGCTTTTTTGGCAGCTGTAGCACACTTCTGGCTCATATTTAAATGATCGCCCACTAGGACTCTGAGATCCCTCTCACAGTTACTACTATTGAGCAAGGTACCACGTATACCAGGCGTAGGCAATCTTGGCTCTTTTATGACTCGTGGACTTCAACTCCAAGAATTCGCAATTCTGGGAGTTGAAGTCCACGAGTCATAAAAGAGCCAAGGTTGCCTATCCCCGACCTATACTATATCTGTACATTTGGTTTTTCTTGCCTAAATGTAGAACCTTACTTTTTTCACCATTCAATTTCATTTTGTTAGATAGCGCCCAGTGTTCAAGTGTGTCTAGTTCCTCCTGTATCTTAAGCCTATCTTCTGGAGTGTTGGCTATTCCTGCCAGCTTGCTGTCGTCTGCAAATTTGATGCATTCCTCATTTATCCCCTTGTCCAAATAGTTGATGAAGATGTTCAAGAGCACTGGACCCAGAACAGAGCCCTGGGGCACCCCACTACACGCTTCCCTCTATGTAGATGCAGTTCCATTGAGGACCACAAGCTGAGTAAGGCCGGTCAGCCAGCTACAAATCCATCTGGTGGTGATGCTGTCTAACCCACATTTTTCTATCTTATCTAGTAGTAGGTTGTGATCTACTTTATCAAATGTCTTATGGAAGTCCAAGTAAATTATATCCACAGCATTCCTCTGATCCACTAATTTTGTCACTTGGTCAAAGAATGCAGTAAGATTTGTCTGGCATGATCTGTTTTTAACAAACCCGTGTTGGCTTTTAGTAATGACTTTGTTTGTCTCTAGGTGTTTACTGATTTGTTGATTATCTTTTCCAGAATCTTCCCAGGTATTGAGGTCAGGCTGGATCTATTTTGTTTCCCTTTTTTGAAGATGGGAACTACATCAGCTCTTTTCCAATCCATTGGTAGTTCCCCAGTGCCCCAGGATCTTTGAAAAATATAGTTCAGTGGTTCTGAGATCACATCTGCCAGTTCCTTGAGAATCTTGGGGCATAATCTATCTGGTCCTGGCGATTTGAACCTGTCTAGGCTGGACAAGTGCTCACTTACCATTTTCTTGCCTTTCTTAACTTGTGTTTCTAATCTGTTTTTTATGGTACTGTTTTTGATAGGTTGGACTGTTTTTTCCCTTTGTGTAAAGACCAATGCTAAAAACGAGTTAAATAGTTCTGCTTTCTCCCTGTTGCTTGTCACCTTCTTGCCACTTTCCTCCACTAATTGACCAATCATTTCCTTAACTTTTTTCTTGTTTTTTACATGTTGAAAGAAGCTTTTTTTGTTATTTTTGACTTTGGTCGCAAGCCTTAGTTCATTTTGAGCTTAGCTTTCCTCACTTCATCTTTGCAGGCTCGTGCTATTTGCTGATATTCTGCCTTAGTTATGTGCCCCTCTTTCCACTTTTTATACTTGTCCTTTTTATTGTTCAATTTATCAGAGTTCTTTATGAAGCCATGCTGGTTTCTTTTGAGAGCTGTTATTTTTCTTTGTTAGTATTATGCTAGACTGGGCTTTTATTATCTCACTTTCCCAAGCTTCTTGAGTTGTTTTCCCCTTGAGGATTCTCATCCATGGAATCCTACCCAAGCTATCTCTAAGTTTATTGAAATTAGCTCTCTTAAAGTCAGAGACTCTAGTTTGACTGTGTCCTATTGCTTGTGCTTCCATAATGTTGAATTCTAATATTGCATGATCACTTCCCCCCAAGGTTCCTATGGCTTCAACACCTTCTATCATTTCATCTCTGTTAGTGAGGATTAGATCCAATATGGCTAATCCCCTAGTTCCTTTCTCTACTTTTTGGGAGACAAAGTTGTCTGCTAGGTTTGTCAGGAATCTGTTTGATCTTCCACTTGGTGCAGAGTTTGTCTCTCGGTTGATGTCAGGGTAATTAAAATCCCCCGTTACTATTGTGATGTGCTTCCTACATACCTTAGCTAACTAGCAAAAAGTTTTATCTATTTCCTCTATTTGGTTGGGTGGCCTATAGTATACACCTATGGCAATGTCATTTCCCCTCCCCCTTTTTATATTGACCCAAATGCATTCAAGACAGTTTTCATCATTGTTTTGCTCTATTTCTGTAGAGATGTAGTTATTTCTTATATAGAGAGCAATTCCACCTCCTCTTTTGTTTGGTCTGTTTCTTTTAAATAATTTAAATCCCTCTAGCTGTGTGTTCCATTTATGGTTTCATCCCACCATGTTTCCGTATTGGCAACAATATCATATCTGCCCTCATTTACCTGAATTTCTAGTTCACCCTGTTTACTGTTCATACTCTGTGCATTGGTGTATAGACATTTGAGTCCTTTATGACTGACCCTGTGTTTTCTTTCTACATAACCTGTGTGGTGCCTGAGTTTCCCCTATTGTCTTACCACCTATTTGGTTAGTGCACTTTGTTTGGCACTCGCTATTGGAGGCTTGATTTTGCTTGACAGCAGGGTTGGTATTCTTGTCCACATACACATCTATGTTACATGCACTGATAGCCTTATAATTTTAGATTACTAGGGATAGGGATATTCTGGATCAATTAACTCACTGTCCCCGTTGTTTAGTTTAAATACCATATTTTCCGGCGTATAAGACGACTTGGAGTATAAGACGACCCCCAACTTCGTAAAAGATTTGCCTGGTTAGAAAGTTGTCTTATATGCCGGAAAATACAGTATTTTCCAGCGTATAAGATAACTCGGCGTATAAGATGACCCCTGACTTCGGAGAAGATTTGCATGGTTTAGAAAGTCATCTTATACGCTGGAAAATACGGTATTCCTCCAGAAAATCTGTGAATTTATCGCCAAGTAACTTAGACTCTTTCTTGGATGGATGCAAACCATCTCTTTTGTACATTTTTTCATTGGACCAGCTACAGACATCGTGACTAATATAACCAAAGCCTTCCCCTTTACACCACTCCTTTAGCCACATACTGAATTCTGCTATATGCTGGCTTTTTCCATTTTGCTGCTTATACACTAGTAAAACCTCTGAAAAAGTAAGCCTACAGCCTATCCTGCTAAGTTCCTGCCCCAAGGTCTGGAAATTATTCTGCACAAAGACAACATCTTTTTGGGACAGATGGTTAGTGCCAAGATGTACAATAGCATCCACATCACAGTCCTTGCTGGCCTTCTTGACTATTTTAAAAGTATGCTTCTCATCCCTACTGGCAGTAGCACCTGGAAGACACCTGACCTCTTTTCGAAACCTCTGTATCCTTTCCTAAATGTCCATCCCTTATAATTGAATCGCCAACCAGAAGCTGGCTTCTCTTTTTGGGTGTCTTTCTCTTCTTGTGTGACTGATGTGTAATACCTGATTCACACTTCTCCCTGTCGAAAACAAGTTCTTCATCTCGGACCACGATCCCCTGCTTATTATTGACATTACCATGACATTAAATAATTATTTACAACTGTTGCAGCATCCCCAGGATCACACGATCAAAATGAAGGCGCTGGACGAACTGGCATGTATTTACAAAAGTTGCAGCATCTCAGGGTCATGTGACCACCGTTTGTAAATTTCCCAGCCAGCTTCTGAAAAGCAAAGTGTGTGTGTGTGGGGGGGGGGCAGGATTTCCTTAACGACCGCATTATTCAGTTAAAGAACTGCGGTGATTTGCTTAATTGTGGCAAAATGGTTATAAAATCGACTCACTCACTTAACGGCCACCTTAGCAAGGGAAATTCTGGTCCCAGTTGTAGTTATAAGTTGAGGACTATCTGTGCTACAGTCCAGACTGAGCCAAGACTATAACCTAGGTCAGGGGTAGGCAACCTTGGCTCAGAATTCCTGAGCCAACTGGAATTCTGGGAGTTGAAGTCCACGAATCATAAAAGAGCCAAGGTTGCCTACCCCTGACCTAGATCTCCCTGCTCCTAGTCCAGTTTTTTTTAAAAAATAGTTCTCACATTTAATAGTTTGCTTCATTTATCTCATACGTGACTTCAGAATAGGTCCAAGGAGTGAGCTGAGAAGGGAGTTATTTTGTGTGTGCTCCTAGTTGTGTATAAGTAATTCTTTTGGTCCCTATGGCATTTTAGAGCCTGTAGTGTATATAGTTTTAAGGTACTGTAGGTTCCAGGGCAGGTATAGCCAGTCACCAAACCCCTGGTAATCAAAAACAAAGTACCTTTCCCAGATACTCTCTCCAATCTACGGAGATATTTGTGAAGCCCCCCCCCCCAAGTTGCTGCAAATAAATATGAAACTCTAGCCCAGGGGTCAGTAACCTTAAACACTGAAAGAGCCACTTGGACCTGTTTCCCAGAGAAAAGAAAACACCAGGAGCTGCAAAACCCGCAGGCGCACGAGGGGGAGGAGCTTGATTAACGAGTTTAATTAAAAAGAAATAGAAGCTGCTGTGCATGAGCGCTCTCTCTCTCTCCCTCCTTCTCCCTCTCCCTCTCTCCCCCCCCCTCTCTCTCCAATCTTCTGTTCACCTGGCAAGCTGGTTTCACACTGTTCTCCGACAAGCTGACACACATTCTTATTGGGCTGGCTCTCTCCTGCCCTTGGTCTGCCAGTCCTCTTCCCCCACTCAGTGTGTGTGTGTGTGTGTGTGTGTGTGTGAGAGAGAGAGAGAGAGAGAATGTGTGTGTGTGTGTGTGTGTGAGAGAGAGAGAGAGAGAGCTGCTGCTTTCTTTCTGCTGCTTCCTGCTGAGACACAGCAAAGGCAGGAGCCCTGCCCAATAAGCTTGTCAGCTTGTCCGAGAACAGCATGAGGCCACTCTCTCTTTTACACACACACACACACAGAGAGAGAGAGAGAGAGAGAGAGAGAGAGAGAGAGAGAGAGAGAACGCAAGGGCCTCTCTCTGTCTCTCTCTCTGCAAATGGAGGAGGCTGGGAGCCGCAGGAGAAGGCTCAAAGAGCCATATGCAGCTTCGGAGCTGCGGGTTGCCGACCCATGCTCGAGCCTAATGCTTTAGATCTCAACTTGCCGGCTTCTTATTTAATCAACAGCCATTTTTAAAATGGAAAGTATTATTATGTCTATTTAAACTCTTATGCACATTCCTCCCCCCCCCAGCATCATCTAACTCTTAAGAAGAAAATGGTTGCATCTCTAACTATTGTCAAAGCAAAAACATCCGATGTTCGCAGCGTTGGCAATGTACACGCGTGCCTACACATCTCCCCCAACCCCCCTGTCCTGGGCTGGGCCGGACCACCCAGGTGGAAAGGTTGAGACAGCTGGACTAGAAGACCTCTGAGGTACCTTCCAGCTCTGTGTAACTTACAAGTGTCGTTCTTCCCTTCAGTGGCTAGAAACACGGCCGGAGCGTCAGGAATGTCCGGTGTGCAAGGCGGGCATCAGCCGGGACAAAGTCATCCCTCTGTATGGGCGTGGAAGCTCTGCTCAGCAGGATCCCAGGTAAAGCGTTCCCCCCCCCCTTTTTTTTGATGGAGTTTGAGCAAGTGAAGGTAAAGGAGCCCCTGCAGATTTTACTCCGCTCGTTGACGAGCATCCAAATTTTGATCATGTGACCAGAGGGATGCTGCAGTGGTCGTGAAGTGTGAAATACAGTCATTTTTCGGTGCCGTTGTAAACGAATGGTGTTAAGTCGCGGTCTGCCTGTAATTGTTTTAATTCTTTTTTATGGATTTTGTAACCCATCTGGGGTGTGGGCGGCCTTGTTAAATTGAGTGAATTAAAATTATATTGCCAAAGAAGAAGTGACCACTGGTTTGTTTCTCAGTGCAAGTCAAGGTGTGGGTGACCCCTTTAAAACCCTACGTGGTTTGGACGGTTTACGTGAGATGAAATTGGATAGTAGAATGCTGAGTGAGAGTCCCATGTCTTAATGAAAAGGGGGCCTTGAAGGCGAGTATTCTCTTCAAGAACTTCCCTCACGGGGAATGTCCCCCTGCCAGTATAACATCTGTCCTCTCATTTTTAGTGTTTAGGCTTTTCCAACGTGCATCTGAAGTAAGAGTAAGCCAAATACCCGAGTAGGAGATGAAAATTCTTGTTGATCAATGATAATACTATGGTTCTATAATAATGATCATTGATTGACATTTGGTGAAGTTAATACTTTTATCAGCCAGCAGTGTGCTGCAGCTGCCAAAAAAGCCAACACAGTGCTAGGCTACATTAACAGAGGGATAGAATCAAGATCATGTGAAATGTTAATACCACTTTACAATGCCTTGGTAAGGCCATACTTGGAATACTGCATCCAGTTTTGGTCACCACGATGTAAAAAAGATGTTGAGACTCTAGAACAGTGGTTCTCAACCTGTGGGTCGGGACCCCATTTGGGGTCGAACGACCATTTCACGGGGGTCGCCAACAACGCAGTCCGCCATTTTTTCCCCCTTTTCCTTAGCTGTGCTACTCCCTTTTATTCTATTGGCTTTTGAAAGCCAATAGAATAGACTCTCTTGAATAGAATCTAATTCTATTGGCTTTCAAAAGCCAATAGGAATTGTCCAGGCTGTCTCTGCCCTGCTGAGTCCGCCAAAAGTCCCATTCTGTAAACAGTGCTGCACCAGTTAAGTAGTCCTCGACTTACAACCGGTTGAGTAGTCCTCAACTTATGACCGGTTGGGGGTCGCGGTATTAAAAAGGTTGAGAACCACTGCTCTAGAAAGAATACAGAGAAGAGCAACAAAGATGATTAGGGGACTGGAGGCTAAAGCATATCAGGAACGGTTGCTGGAATTGGGTATGTCTAGTTTAACGAAGAGAAGGACGAGGGGGGACATGATAGCAGTCTTCCAATATCTCAGGGGCTGCCACAAAGAAGAGGGAGTCAAGCTAATCTCCAAAGCGCCTGAGGGCAAGACAAGAAGCAACAGATGGAAACTAATTAAGGCGAGAAGCAACCTAGAACTAAGGAGAAGTTTCCTGACAGAACAATTAACCAGTGGAACAACTTGCCTCCAGAATTGGTGAATGCTCCAACACTGGAACTTTTTAAGAAGAGACTGGACGGCCAGTTGTCTGAAATGGTATAGGGTTTCCTGCCTGAGCAGCGGGTTGGACTAGATGACCTCCAAGATTCATTCCAACTTTATCATTATTATTATTATTATTATTATTATTATTATTATTATCATCATCATCATCATCATCATCATCATCATCATCATCATCATCATTTTATTCTATTTTGCTGCTTAGGCAGAATGATTGAAATGGCGCAAAAGCATCGATAATAAGTAAAATCAGAAACAGCAGGACTGAGGCCAAGAGCATAATCCTGCTTTTTTCTCCCTCACACAGATTGAAAACTCCCCCCCGACCTCGAGGGCAGCGCCCGGAGCCTGAGTCGCGAGGGGTGAGTGTAGCCTGCTTCTGATTCCCCCTTCCCAAAATCATCCTGGACTAACTCTGCTCTTTTGCAACAACACCGTTACCCCGCCCTCCTCCTTTTTTCATCTTCTTCTCCCCCTCCACACCCCAGCAGGGCATCGGCAGTTTTCCTGAAGCAGCCACAGGCTTCCACATGGCATTTGGCATCGGCGCGTTCCCTTTTGGCTTCTTTGCTACGGGCTACAGTGCACCAGGAGAAAGAGCAGGTAAGATCCTGCTGTAAAGGGGTCGGTGTTGATGAAATGCATCTGCACATAGAATTTTGCGTTCCCTGTGACCGTCTTTCCTCTGCCTTTCTACTGAAGCTAAATGGTGTCTACCTCTGTTCTTCCAAGCTTTTACGTGCTGGGAACTTCCCTTTCTCCAGATTGTGTGCCCTGGCCTACCTGTTGCGTTTATATGGTGCCTGGTTGTGTATGCCTTTGTCAGACCTGTCCCAGGAAAGAATCTCCATTTGTGGCGAACAGTATTCTTTTATCGAAGCCAAGTAATTGCAGCCTAGCAAAGTCAGATCTGAGGCTTTCCCGCGTAACCCCAGTAATTTTACCTTCTCCCAAGCTCTCTCTCCTTTTGGTTATCTTGGTGACGTCCAGTAAGGTTCAGATTTTGGTGACAGTTCCACATTTTGGTGCCTCTTTGGATGGGCATTTCGCATCCCATTCCCAGGCTGTGTCCTGGTATCTTTCAACCGTTGTCTCTGGATAGCACCTCTGGTTCCTGTCATTTCTCTCCCCCCCCCCATATCTTCCCAATAATAATAATAACAACAACAACTTTATTGTCACTTTGAATGTACACCAATTGGCATACATCAAAATGAAATTTTGTTGTGTAAGCTTTCAAAGGGTCACCACCTCCGATATACACTCCTTGTTCGTGGCCAGCTCAAGTTTCAGATCGTCCATTTTAGTCTCCAGGGAGCGAATGATGGCAAGCAGGACAGATGGAAATGGAGCTCCATGTGGATTAGCCCTCAAATTAGCTTGTACTCCATGCACGATAACCTCACCTCCTTTCCTTTTTCTGATCCTGTCTCTTCCACCTTTTCCTTAAAGAGGCCTTGCTTCTTTTCGCCCCTGGAGCACGCTGCTATCGCCACCAACTCCTCCAAAAGCTTCTCTCCCATCCTCTGGGCCTGCCGACAGCCTCATCCAGTTCCTTCGCTCCGTAAGCCCCGGGACCTCTCCTCCTCCCCTGCCTCCTTTGGAAACAGCCCTGATTTGCAATAGAATCCATCGCTGGGCCAACAGTCAGATCTTGCTACTGGCAGAGCAATTTCAAACAGCGCCAACAACTTTTAACGGTCTCACCAACAGTTCTGAAACAGCTAGAAACTCGCCATGCCAGCGAAGATTGTCAGTTGTATGTTACCTTAGTTCCACCACGTTGCTCAAACACATCAACACCTTCCTGATCATGTGGTCCATATCCCTTAATATCCCTCCCAAAACTTTTCACCTTCAAGAGCCAATGCAGCTGCAGCTGATCCAGGCGCCGCCATTTTAGACCTTCTCCTCCCCACATTTTATGGCAGGCTGCCATCAAAGTGAGGTAAAGCATTGCTGAAGCAGTTTGATGGCAGATCTGACAGGCTTTTAGTTAATTAGAGTATCGATGGCTGTGAACCCTAATTAATAACTAAAAGCCACATACAACCAGGCACCATATAAATACAACACACAGCCCAGGGTACATATTCTGGAGAGAGAGAGAGAAGTTCTCTGAGGGTGAACTCCAAGCACGTGCTGAAAGCTGCAACATTATCCTCGGACCCGTATATTTGCTTTCATTTGTGAGTGTTTCCCTCTTGTTATCATGTGGGTAGATTCCCATGATGTTGGTTTGGGTTATAGTTACCAGATCTCTGAGCAGGCAAAAGAGGACAGACAATTGGAAGGGAAGACACACAACCTAACTTTCGTAGCATCCATGACGAAAAACTATAGCAAAAAATGTACAGGTTGTCTTCACGTACCAACCCCTTGTTCAGCGATCGTCTGAATTTACAACGGCGCTGAAAAGAGACTCGCCTCAGAGTTGCAGCCGTTGCAGCATCTCTACAGTCAGGTTGATCATGATTCGGGTTCTCGTCCACCCACATTTACAGTAGGACAGTTGCCGTGTTCCACAGTCACATTACTGCCATGTGCAACTTTCCCCAGCCAACTTCCGACCAGCAAAGTCAGTGGGGAAGCCAGCAGGAAATCGCAAGTTGCAGTCTTGTGACATCACATTTAACAACCTGTGGTAATTTGCTTGCCGCTGCAGCCAGAACTGACATTGTAAGTTGGCGTGGTCACATGACATCACATTCAATGAGGGCTCGGTTATCCCAGGCATTTAGGAGCTGTGGTGGCACAGTGGTTAGAATGCAGTATTGCAGGCGAACTCACTGCCCACAGCCTGGAGTTAGATCCTAACCGGCACAAGGCAGATTCAGCCTTCCACCCTTCCGAGCCCGTCCGAGGTCGGTAAAATGAGGACCCTTATTGCTGGGGGCAATATGCTGAACCTGTAAAACGCTGAGAGAGGACTGTAAAGCACTATGAAGCGGTATATAAGTCTAAGTGCTATTGCTAGTGCTGTTAGTATTTCCTGTCGTATGTCATTTTTTCCAATCCCACATAGCCTGGCAGAGCTGGCATACGTCAGGTCCCGTTGACTAATCCTGTCACTTAGTGGGACCCAGGAAGCAGACCTTCCTTCTCAGTCTTGGCACCAGCTTTTGGGTACCATTTAACCCCCCAAAATAGCTCCCACCCTGGCCCTATTAAAGCAAGCCCTTAAGACTTCGCCCTGGGATAGCGTGGGTGATGGATCCCTGCAGTGTTCTGTTTTTTTAAACAATTGCGCGTGTTTTTTTCCTGGACTTTTGATGTTTCCCAAATTTTATAGTATTTTATTTATTTATAAAATTTATAAGCAGCCCAACAGTAGTGGGCCTTATTCATGATGGCAACGAGGGTGCTTACCGCCAGGAGGTTGAGGTTTTGGTGAACTGGTATAAGGAAGACAGCCTAGTTTTAAATACTGGAAAAACCGAAGAGATCATTGTCGATTTCAGAAAAGGCAGGCACAGCCACACTCCTCTGTGCATTAATACTTCCACCTGTGGAGATGGTTACCAGCATCAAATTTCTGGGTGTGCAGTTAACAAGTAGGCTGGCTTGGTCGCTCAACAGCGAGACACTGGTGAAGCGGGCACAGCAGCGCCTGCATTTTCTGCATTGCATGAGAAAAACAGAGAGACAATCGAGAGCATCCTGTCATACAGCATCACAGTCTAGTTTAGAAGCATCACTGCTTCAGACAGGAAGGTGCTGAGGATGGCCGAAAAGATCATTGGCCGTTCCCTCCCTTCCATCCAAGACATAGCATATAAGCGTTGCTTAAGCAGGGTCCGTAAGATTGTCTGGGACACGACACATCCTCTTCACGACCTGTTTTCCTTGTTACCTTCTGGGAGGAGACTCCGTGGTATCTGAAGCAGAGCATCCAGATTCAGTCACAGTTTTGCTCCACACAGTATTAACTTTGTGAACTCTAAAGCTTCCTCTTTCTGCTATGTACTCAAGATGGACAGTAATTAATATTTATGTTACTTATATGTAAGTGTGTAGGTCTTATATAATATGTTTAAATCTGTTATGTATGTGTACACTTTGAGAGCAAGCAACTAAATTTAATTTTTAATGTGTGCCATTGTGCCCGCAGTAAAAAATGACAATAAAGTTTATCTATCTATCTATCTATCTATCTATCTATCTATCTATCTATCTATCTATCTATCTATCTATCTATCTATCTATCTATCTATCTATCTATCTACCTATCTATCTATATCTATCTATCTTTCTATCTACCTACCTACCGACCTACCTACCAGATATTTTACTGTTGTACTTTGGAATCATAACAGATTGGGGTAATCTATAAATTTCATAAATAAACCAATAAATCTGCTAATTGTATTTATTTATTATCTAATTTATATGGCCACCCATCTCACACAAAAAATGACTGGGTGGTGTACAGTAGCATATAAGAACAATTATTTTTCAGACAAAAATTGCAATCAAAGGCTAAGAGCAGACAGCAGATGTCAACAATGGAGCCACCTCAGAATTTTACTGGTCCCCTGGGCTCCCCAGACCTGATGGCATAAATTGTCCTAACTGGAACCATTTCAACTCAGAAGCTATAATGAGGACACTATGTTAGATCAACCTCACACGATTAGTCATGAAATGCCAAGTTGGATAGCAATAAATTGTGGGAAAGGAATGTCCCACTCTGGAGGTGGTTAGTAAATTAGGAAATAAGATAAGATAACCTTTATTGTCATTTTTTTACTGTGGGCACATTGGCACACATTAAAAATGAAATTTAGTTGCTCCTCCTCCACCCCGTTTATACATTGGTCCCTTTTTCTCTAGTTCTTTGTGAATTTTTAATGTTTACTTTCTTAATATTGAATGTTTTTAATGTTCTCATTCATGGGCAGCGTATACATTTAATAAATAATAAATGTTCCAAGCCCTCCCTGTTAGTCCTCCAAGGAAGAGAGATGGGAGTGTAGAGTGGCTGCCTTTTTAGAACTACTGCTGAAGCTTGAGAGCACGTGCATTTTTCCTAAACATTGATTGGCTGCCGTGCCCAAGACATGCCCACTGCTACCTGCCTGGCAAATGGGAAACAGCCATTGGTGTGAGGGGTCCTTGGTGCTCTCTGAGCTTGGTTTTTTTCTTGCAGAGACGTTTCATTGACCAAATTAGGTAGCACCATCAGTGCAAGGACATCTGCTGCCTACTCTCAGTCTTTGCAGATTTTATTTTATTTTTCTGAAGAATAATTGTTTTTTATATGTTATTGTACACCGCCCAGAGTCGCTTTTTTGTGAGATGGGCAGCCATGTAAATTATATAATAAATAAATAAATAAATAATCAGTAGATATCTTGGTTGTGTTTATGAAATGTATAGGCTACCCCAATCTGTTACAACAATAAAATACCCTGAGGTAAAATATCCTGCCTGTGAATGTTATAAATAAATAAATAAATAAATGCTAGAGAGTCCTTGACTTACAACAGTTCATTTAGTGACCGCTTGAAGTTACAACGGCACTGAAAAAAAGGGACTACACTTGTGACCTCGGCAGCATCCCCATGGTCACATGATTTACATTCAGATGCTTGACAGCCGACTCACATTTATGACGGTTGCAGCAACAAGCAACGTCAGTGGGGAAACCCGATTCACTTAACAACCGTGTGACTGATTTAACCATTGAGGTGATTCGCTTAACAACTGTGGCAAGAAAGGTCGTAAAAGAGGGCAAAATTCACGTTCACAAATTTCTCGCTTAGCAACAGCGAAATTTTGGATTCAGTTGCAGTCGTAGGTTGAGGGCCACCTAGTATAAAATACAGGAAACATCGAAAGGCCAGGGGAAAGAACAACAACAACTCTGAGCTACAAATATTCTCCTTTCTTGGAGCCCTTGATGTAGCAAAATTTCATCAGTGGCCTTTAAAGTACCGGCTCAGGGATCCCAGGCAGGAACAGAGGAGTTGGACTCTCCGATGGAAAAGCTCTTGATTAACAACCGATAACAAAGAGCTATGATGGCGTTAGTGAGCAGTTCGGTGTTTTACCTTGTTTGAACGCGTCCAACTTGCTTTTAGATTTCACCTTGGCTAACTTTTTTTTTTTCTTTTCCTTTTCCGCAGAGACAGAGGCAGCCAGACCATCCAGTTGGCAGGATTCGTTATTTCTTTTCATTGCCATCTTCTTTTTCTTCTGGTTGCTCAGTGTATAACCGGCTGGACCCCGCTGAGCTTAACCTGTACTAAAGTCTAAAGAACAGAACTAAAGGACTTTGATATTGGGTGGGTGGGTGATGGGGGGGGAGAGACGGACAGACCAGTTTTGGGTGGGTGGATTTTTCTTGAATGCGTAGGAGAGACAGAAAGGGGTTAATACTATATGGTGGGGTGTAATCCAGATGGAGTAAAATTCTTTTTTTTTCATTCCTCCCCCCACCCCAGAGAATTAAAATCATAATAGGGCTGCTTCTTCAAGTGGTATGCAAATGGTTGTCAATATACAACCCCAACCTAATTATGGATTGAATGGGGAGTAACTTATGCTAAGAACGATCCATTTCTATTCTTCGAAGAAAGATCTCCAACCTGAGGGCAATCTCGAATTATGGCGGAAGATTGGAGAGAGCTGAAGCGAGCACATGCGGACTACTCATTCTTTCCAGATTACCTAAAAGCAGGAGGATGAATGGGGTTCATTCCCCCCCTTTTTTCTGTTGGGCAAAAGTAGCTAGGCCCGCCTCTGTGTAAAAGTGCACGAATCAGGGAAGAGGGATTTTGGAGAGTAAGCAGGGGTAGGGTAATAGAGATGTGATGGTGGGGAGTCTACCTTGTTCCACGTCCTGCCACAGGAAGCGATTGTGGGAAGGGGAGCGAAGGTTATTTGAAAGTGAGAGACAGGAAAGACGACCTGTTGCAGGAACCCACAGGAAATGGCTGCATATTCTTTTGAGGCCAGGTGATCCCCAAAGAGCTTATCTTGATCCACTCATCCCCGGCTCTTCCAACAGTGCTGGGAAACATTGAGGGTTGCTGAGGGGAAGGTTGACCACCGGACGTTGTTTAGTCTTGAATAACAGTATTTTGTGGTCCAGAAATTGCTTGGATAATGATTTATGCCTTCATTCGGGGGGGGTGACAGAGAAGGGACATGATGTCAATTAACTAATGCTTCAATTAAATTCACCCATGATTCCTATCCAGTTGAAGGAATAGTCATTGAGAGAAAAATATGCCTGTTTAGAAGGGAAAAGCACAGACTGCTGCAATGTGCAGGTGGTCCTCGGCTTACAACGATCACTTAGTGACCGTTCTAAGTTATGAGGACCTGAAAACAGGGACTTAGGATCCAAATTTGACTCCTCTGAAGTTATGTGATTGAATTTCAGGCACTTGGCAACACCGCCCCATTTATGGCTATTTGCAGCATACGAGGGTTTTGCCAAAAAAACCCTGCACTTTCGATTTTTGTCAAAACCACAACCGTAGCAAACCGTTTGCTTTAACAACCTTGTTCCCTTAACGACCCTGGTTTCTTAATTGTTTCACTGAAGTTGGGCTAAGACTTTATGCTGCACCTTAGTTTTGGAACTTTGTGTGTGGTGTGTACTAGCTGTGTATACTAGCTCTACCAGTATATGGAGTTGGGAAAACATAGCTTAGAGCAGAGGTCGGCAACCTGTGGCTCCGGAGACGCATGCGGCTCTTTGAACCTTCCCCTGTGGCTCCCAGCCTCCTCTGCCATTTGCAGACAGAGACAGAGAGAGACAATTGCGCTTCCTTGCTTCTCTGTCTCTGTGTTTATGTTTGTGTTTGTTTGTGTGTGTAAAGAGAGTGGACTCACTGTCTTCTCTGACAAGCTGAAAATCTTTTTGGGCGTGACTCCTCCCTTTGTTGCGTCTCAGCAGGAAGCAGGAAGGGCAGGAGAGAGTTAGCTAACCCAGCTATGCTGACTCAGGAATTCTGGGAGTTGAAGTCCATGAGTCATAAAAGAGCCGAGGTTGCCTACCTCTGAGCTTGTTGGAGAACAGCTTGAAGCCAGCTTGCCAGGTGAGCAGAAGATCGGAGAGAGGGAGAGGGGGAAGAGGACTGGCAGACCAAGGGCAGAAAGAAAGAGAGGGAGGGAGGGAGAGAGAGACACAGAGAGAGACCCTTTTGATATCTAAAATGAAGATGACACTGCATATATCCTTTTTTACCTTTATGAGATATATATGTGTGTGTGTGTGTGTGTGTGTGTGTGTGTGTGTGTGTGTGTGTGTTTGTATGTGTGTAAGGTAAAAAAGGATATATGCAATGTTATCTTCCTTTTAGATATCAAAAGGGTTTTGCGGCTCCCAGTGTTTTGTTTTTGGTGGGAAACTGGTCCAAGTGGCTCTTTGAGTGTGTTGGGTTGCCTACCCCTGGCTTAGAGTTATACTGTCTTGTAGGAATCCAGTCAGTTGCGGCTTTTTAAGACTGCATTGCCATCGTAAGCTAGCAGAAGGTGCACAATTTTTGTTGGCAGAAAAGTCCATCGAGCTTTGAAAAATGTTGAGAGTGGTATGGCAGAGGTCCCCAACCTTTGTGGCTTGGCAGCGGAGAGGGGAGCCAGGCCATGAGTGCCGGGCTGGTGCACATGCGTCCAGCTGAACATGCTCTCCACTTGCGTTGCCCAGTTCCGAATAGGCCGTGGGCCACAGCCTGGGGGTTGGGGACCCCTGATATAGAGAAATCGGCATTCCTTGGGCCTGGTTTTTGGGAGCACTGAATTCATTGAGTGGCAAATTGATCACCATAGGCCTCAACAAGCTTTAAAACGGGTCCTCAACCCCCAGTCCGTGGACCAGTACTGGGTCATGGCATGCCAGCAACTGGTCCGCACAAACAAGCAAAGCCCCATCTGCAGGATGCAGGCAGCACAGAAAATCACGTACCCTCCAGTTCACAAAAAACCTCTCCATGGAACCGCATGCCCAAAAGTTGGGGACCTCTACTTTAAAACACTGCTTCAAATGTAACCCAAAATATGGCACATTCGGGACTCCAACTGAGCAACCTGTGGCCCATGAACCAGTTTTTACATCCTGAATTTAGCATCTGTGTATTCTAAGTATGTTTCCTTCTATGCCCATGATGCTAAATTTATTTGGAAACCTTTGGGGAGAATTTTACATTCTCCAAAGGAGCACTAGAAATAATGGGAAATCGTCAGTGGGAAAAATACATTTTATTGTTTTGGCAAAACTGTACAAGAATAAGAAAGGGATGGAAAAAATCCCCAAGAGATTTTATTGCCCCCATAAGAATGGATTCTGCATCTTCCCCCCCCCCCTCCCCCAAGAAACCTGTTGCCTCTGCCTCATGGCTCTGACGTTTTTTGCTTGCTCAGGCTCACCTAGACCAGTAGTGGCGAACCTATGGCATGGGTGCCAGAGGTGGCACTCAGAGCCCTCTCTGTGGGCACGCGTGCTGTCGCCCCAGTCGTAGGCCTTCAGCTGGGTTTTATAAAACCTTTTTGCTTTAGGCCTCCGCCGCCGTGTGCAAAAAAACACCCAAAAAGTTCAATCAGTCAATTTCAACTTCTTGTGGGAAAAAAAAAGATTGAACTTTTTAATGCTACCAGTCTGCTGTTACCACCGCAGCCACGCCCACCTAATGGGCCACATCCACCCAGCACCCGACAATGCATAAGTGGGTTTTGGGTTGCAGTTTGGGCACTCGGTCTGTAAAAGGTTTGCCATCACTGCTATAGGGACATCCATGAAATGCTCTTGTCTGATGGCATTGAACCTTAAATACGGATAGTCCTTAACTTATGAGCATTCATTTAATGATTTAAAACTACTAAAAAAAAGGGATCAGTTGCTCCTCACCTTTATAACTCTGTGTTCCCCAGTCATGTGATCAAAATTTTGCATATTTACAAAAGCGGCTGCATCTCCAGTCACATGTTCACCACATATGACCACCTCAGGGGGTTTCAACAAGCGAAGTCCATGGGGAGGAAACCAGATTCGCTTAACAACTGCCTGATTCACTTAACCACTGCAGTGATTCGCTTAATGACCATGGCAAAAAAAGGTCATAAAATTGGGCGCAACTCACGTAAGAGGCGCATTGCTTAGCAAAGGATGTTCCAATCCCAATTGTGATTATAAATTGAGGGCTATCTATAATGCCAGATTATAACTTTCTCATTGCAATCCAGGCTGGGATTTGTATGAATGGAAGCCCAGCATCTCTTATCTAGGGCTAAGTACTGAGGGACTGAACCAAGAGCAAAAGCATTGTAGTTAATCCCCCATATGTGCTGCGGAAGCAAAACGGGTTCTAGTTAATCCCATATGTGCTGCACAAATCCTGACAAGCAGTTGTATAAGAAACTGTGTTGGTGGTGGTGGGGGGAAATGAAGAGCTTAGCAAATAAATTGAATCTCACTTTCACTGCTATATCCATTTTGTTCCACGATCTAATTTCCAATATGAAGTCCTTTCTTGTACGAGATAGGACCCTTTTCACCAATTTTTTTTTTATGAAGAGACACTTCCGAATCGATCCATTAACAGAACCAGCAACATGAAACTGCTTTCAACAGGGAGAAAGAGGTGACAACTGAAGAGTCTCCATTTGAGAACCACACCATTTGCTGCCTTTAGCTTGCCACACGGGTAGGAGTCAAATATGTTAAGAGACAACATGGTTCCTTTTAGGCTTAGAACAGGGATAGGCTATGCTGACTCAGGAATTCTGGGAGTTGAAGTCCACAAGTCATAAACACACACACAAACACATACACACCTATAATAAAGGTAAAAAAGGATATATGCAGTGTTATCTTCATTTTAGATATCAAAAGGGTTTTGCGGCTCCCAGGGTTTTGTTTTTGGTGGGAAACGGGTCCAAGTGGCTCTTTAAGTGTTTTGGGTTGCCTGCCCCTGGCTTAGAGCCTGCCACGAAGCCTGGACACATATTCTTTTCCACACTAAACCGTGGATCAGTTGCATAGGGTTGCCTATCATATTGAGTATTCTGTCAGATAAGAGCCCAGAATAGACCTCAACTTACCACCAGATATTTAGTGACCGTTCAAAATTACAATGGACCCTCCAAATGCTACTTACCACACGGTTTCAAAGTTTTGACATTCTTGGGTCACATGACTAAATTTTGGGTGCTCATCAATTGGCCTTTTAGTCACTTGACCATGATTCATGATAGTATAAATCACCATACTGCAAATTGGTGCTTGCTTCTGGCAAAAACCAGCCTATAAGAAACATTTCGGTTAACGACTACAGTATTCACTTAACGCCACAAAAAAGGTTATAAAATCTGGTTTGGTGAAGGATGATCTGATTTTATGACCCATAACTCACCACCAGGCTTAATTATGGTCATAACTTAAGAACTACCTGTATTATAGTACATGCAGCTATTATAAAACAAGCAAGGATCAGACTTCAGTTCTAATCCATGCTCCATGTAGTTTTGCCTATCAGAAGTCATCAGCCTCTAAAACTAATTGTAGGTATCCATTTTATTTTCCCAATCACGTGACCTCCACAAGTGTTGGGGCCAGTTGACACAACACTGGCTTGGTGCCTAGGAAATCTGGGAATTGTGGCCCCACACACCTGGAACATACACATCTTGCTGCTGGGAAGGTTCCACAGAAGCTTAGCAGCGAAATAATCAGAATGCGGCTAAAATTCGTTAGTTTTGTTTTGTGTGTTCACATCTTGTGTAAACACTGTACTATGCAAATCTGGAATTTTAGTACTGTGACAGTTGCTATCCTGAATTTATTTTCGGTGGTGACTAATTTTACAAATCAGCAATTTTATACACATACACTTATAAAATTACAGTATATACAAATCAGCAACACAGTCACTCTTAAAATCTCTCTCTCCCTATACATACTGGTGTACACACACACACACACACACACACACACACACACACACACACACACACGGGAGGGGGAGAGATTTTACAAGTGACTGTTGCTAATTTACCACAGAGAAGGTAAACTCAGGATAGCAACTTTAATGCAATGTTTTCTCAATCAAAATACACCCACTTTTGCCCCAGAGCAAAATAAACAAGGCACAAAGGTGGTCATTTTTTGTTGTTGACAATTTTAGAAAAACTGGCCATCACCGCACCTTAAAAAAAACTTTGACATCTTAGTAACAGGTCTCCTGTGCGTTTAA